TGAATGGGGCCTTCTGACTGGGTGGCTTCAGTGAAACACGATGGTAAAATTTCAGAGGATATTTCCTTCAGATATTCTTCCCTTTCAAAAACTAATTTCACAAAGAACTTAAAGATGACCAAAATTAACTGATATATCATTAGTAATAATGAATATGTCAAGCTCCAACTTCATGATCCTTGCTTTGAAACAACTCTTCTCTGAGACAGTTGAAAGATCTTCCAAGGTAGGAAAAACACAAGACCACAAGTGCCTCAGCAAACAATGTTGAAAAACTACACCTTGTTCAATAGAAAAGGCCAGAGCCCGTTCTCTGTTTCTGAGGCCAAATGCCACAGCAGCTCCTCAAAACATGATGGTCTTTTTTGGAAAGATCACAGGCCACCCTTCTTCCACAAACTGTGCCCCTGGTGTTCCTGGGAGTGTACTGACTGCCATGGGACAAAGCGCTGAGGAGTAGCAACTCCTACAACAAATAATCCCGATTAGTTCTCAAAACAGGAACCTCTGTACCATACTCATTTTAAAGAAGAGGAGTTTCTGGAAGCACATACTGTCTCAAAAAAGGAAAAAAAAAAAGAAAAAAAAAGAAAACTAAGAAGTTAATCCTGACATGATTTATAACCCCTTTTATCTCATGCAATACTTCAGTTGTTCCCTGTGTCATGGCCTGATCCTGTAGTCCTTTCTCCTCTAAGTCACCCTGTTTTTAGAAAAGGGAGAAAGGTCTGCAGGATTAGGTCCTGAACTCCAACCAATATTCTCCTCAAAGGAAAATGATGCATTCTGCCTGCTCAGAATTGCCATGAGAGTAGGTGGCACAGGGAAATGTAATATTTATTTGGTAAATAAGGTTAAGTTATACTGCTTCACTTTTTTCATCTGAAGAGAGCAGAGAATTTCCTTCTCCCAGGTTTATTGGATTCAGTAAGTCACCCATGAATAGAGCATGTGAGGATGGGATGCAGAGTATCTGTGGAAAGATCCATGCAACACACACAGATGGGATTAGACTACTCATTCCCTAGATGTAATTGCAGTTTCACAGAAATTCTGCTAAAAACACATTTATTTGGCAGTAAATAAGATGACTAATTGCAAAGGATATCTGCACATAAATTCCAGAGTGAAATTTCTGGCACATTTCTAATTGTCATATAAAAGAAAATGACACATTCTCTACTAATTTTTCCTAATTAAATGCAAAATATGAAGTTATTCCTACTAGTCTTATTGATGGAAATGAAGGCTATTTCTGTTTAACCATGAAATGCAGCATATGGTTCCCTGATTATTGATACACTATGCAGCAGAAGTCCTGGGCAGATGATTTCAGGGGATGATCTGACCATGCCTGCTGCTGAGATCCACAGAGATGCTTTCAATCCAGATTTGAAAATTGTTCTGTATAGAGTTCTGTGAAGGATACGTGGCCCTAAATAATTGACTACTGTATCAGGGCTGTTTTTTTGGTTTTTTTTTCTCCGAAGTTCTCTAAATAAAGTGTCACATAAAATTCAAACACAAACTTTGCATGATAATCAAGGCATTAGAACAATTGTTGCTTGCCTGTGACTTGTTTATAAGAAGAGGCTCTTACAAACACCCAGTACCCGAAGTAACATGAGATATAGTTGGCAGAAGAAGATGAACTCAGATCTTATCTATCCTAAGCCAATGACAATATTGACTCTTTATATAGGATTTCTAATACTGGAAAGAAGGTTAAGAGAAATTATGTGAAAATCATTTGCTGACAGCTTTGAATAATGAAGCGAAAAATTCCTTTAAAATAGCACACAATGTAAGATATGCCAGTAAATGTAACATTAAACAAAGCCAGCCCTGCAACAGCAGTACAGTGCAAGTCTAGCACAGACCAGACATGTTTCAGTAGTGCAGTGGGAATTAAATGTTGCTGCCTTTATCTGTACACACAAGAAGAGCTCTGTCATTCTGTCCACATAATGGGATGCAAAATATGCCAGTTTATTAATTGCTTAACATCTACCAAACAGCACAGTATTTCCCAAATGGGAAAACACATGCTAAGAGGGGGAAAAAACCCCAAACCCCACAACCAAACTATAATTTAAAGTGTGACAATTCTCAGCACTGGACATAAAAGGGATTCAGTAGGAATGCAGTTGGTTGAACACCGTCACTTGCCCTGACTGTGAGCCCTTCTTTATGCATGAGGATTTTGAAGTCTAATGAGTATGCACAGAGCATTCCCACTGATTCACCACCACAGAGAAGAGATTTGGCTGGGATTTCATCCAGAAAACAGCTAAGAAAATAACAAAACACAGGTATGGAAAAATCTCTGCTATGCTCCAGGATTCTACCTTCCCTCCATAACAGAGCTACCTCGTATGACTGCAGCTATTTTCCCTGCTTTGCTGCACATAAACCCTCTCTAAAGCACATTTCTGACAGTTTTCCCTTAGGAAATTCTCCCATACACAAGGAAAATATGCTGCAAGCCAGGGCTCTCGCAAATCTCATACACTGAACTCATCTGCTCTGCATAGGAAACTCAAATGTCAATATCATGGTCAAAAAAAAAAGCCAGAGAAGCACCATTCTCCTTCTTTGTTGTTGTTGTTTTTTGTTTGTTTGTTTGTTTGTTTGTTTGATAATTGAGCTCTGCCAAACCTACAGTAATCAAAGATCATCAGTCAGACTCATACATACACCAAATTATGAAAAGCCATGGATATTTTCAAGTAGGAAACCTAAAATGTAACATTAGCATTCTGGATTAGATCTTTCCAACACATTCATTTCAAGGCCTTTTTTTTTCACTTGTTTGACTGCTCCAAGTAGAGGTTTGCATGTGGCCACTTGCCTCCTGGAGCAGGGCCACAAAAAGAAATGCCAAGTATTGTGAGAACTGTGATAAAAACTGCAGCTTACAACCCAGCTAAGCCTCCTCCTCCACTCATGCTTTGCCAGAGGGAGACAGGTGAGCCCCAGATCTGCCGCTCTCCAATTCCCATGTGAAACTTGTGGACATGCTGGTGGTTACAGACCACTACTGGCAGTGGGAGAGAAGGCTGTAGCATTTGTAGAAGCAGTGTGTGGTCAGGATTTTAATGGGATGGGTCAGGAACACAAGCAACAGGGAACTCGTGAGGAACAGGCCACGCACGGACTGGTGAGAACTCAACCTTTTACTGTCTTTCCATCTTCATGAACACCTCTCAGCACCAGGCCATTGACTCATCAGTGCCAAACACAAAATTTCGGATCATGAGATCCACGTACTGATCATGGTTACAGTGACAGTCCTGAGATGCTGGCTACCCCTGGAAATTGTAAAGTCAAAACCAGTCTCTTCATCTCAGAGATATTAATCTGCTTTCATTTTCTGTCGCTTAAGGAGTGTCAGCACAGATAGGACTGCAGGACACAAACCTCAGATGTTATTTAAATATATCAGTTTCAGGGAAAACATCAGCAAGATACAGCAAGAATATGAGCAGCTATATCAGCCAGAAACATTTTATATCTAAACCTCAAATTCTCTAGAGAAATCTTCAGACTCAAAAAGCAGTAAACCACTGTATAATTCATCTTCATAATCTTGATGTGTGGTTCTTATCACTGACATACTACTACACTCCTGGCTTTTATTGTAGTCTGACTCCTGTTAAAGGTGTCCATTTGGCCTTATTGAGGTATAATGGAATAAAACCACCTTTTCCTGTTTATTTCTTTTGGAGTCAGCGAGGGACTCAGTGGCATTTTCCTGATGGGACGTTAAAAGCTAGACCTTACATTTGTTTCAGCAGTGTAAATCTACTGCAATACCACTGATTTCAGTGACAAAATATGTGGTTACATCTAGAGAAAACTGTATTTATTTGGTGGTACAAGCCCTTCATATATAGCTGGAAACCAGGAAAGAATTTTGAGAAAATAAAGCTGTGCATTTGTCTTTTTTTTTTACTCTTCTGCAACTACCTGCTAGTGCCTGAGACAAGGCACTAGACTAGATGGATCTTCTCTCTACCTTCCTAAGGTCATTCCTGTGTTCTTTTTTAGAACAAAACCTTCAGAAGTGCACCTAGCCTACTCATCTACCCTGTAGAATTGCACCCCAGAATCCATTTCTTTAATTACATAAAATATTTGGGTCTTCTTGTTCAAGTGGAGATGTAAATAATGCACTGTATAATACATTTTAAAAATCACCTGGTATTGAATAAACCATTTAATTTAACTTAGTTAATTTGGAATCGATATTATAATTAATTCTGTACTTCATTTATCTTTCGAAGTGGCGGAACAAACTAGTTTGTGTCAGTTCAGCCTTGCAGGAGTGTGTGAAACGCTGGGGCTGTATTCCCTCTTACCCCTGCTAAGTAAGACTTATCAGCAGGTTCCCTGCTTCTAGGAGTGCTTTATAAAAGTAATTTATGACAAAAGAAAAAAAAGTTTCACAACTTCATTCATCTGACCTAGCGTCTGATTTGACTTTTAAATCATTAGTTGGGCTGAACTGTACTAGCTTCACTTTAGGTAAATCATGAAGAATTGCCTGCCCTGTGTTCCTGTGGAATGCTGAAGTACTCCTGGGCTCACTTTGCTTGAAAGAGGCTCCAGGTACAGAGAACACCAGAAAAAAAAATCATAGTCCTCCTGGCTCTAGCGAAGGAAGAGTCTAACGTGCCAGACTCCTCCAGTGCCACCCAGCACAGTACCCAAGTCTCCAGTCAGTATCACAGCCACCAGACACAGCTTTCCTCGGCTTTACAGAGAAAAAAAAACAAACTCAGATTTACAGTACAGTGCATATTTCACATGCCAGCAAGGGCAGCAAGTCTTCTAGAAAAGCAGATTGTCACCAGTCCTGCCGCTCTCTCGTCCGCTGATGACTCCAAAGCTGAAGGATCATCAGAAATGCTGCTCATACTTCATTGGTTTTCCTAATTACTGGTCAACCAGACACATGACCGGGGGAACAGGCTGAGAGCTCACAAACAGAGCCCACACTGCAAAAAGACCAGCTGCTACAGAGGTTAAGTCTTTCTCTTGCAGCAAAGAGCTACTCTGCAGACCTTCAATTCCCTGTGATGTCCAATCCAAACACGCCACAGGTAATCATTTTTTAAAACTCTTTCCAAAGTGTTGCACTTATGTTGTACGTCCCTCCCTTAGCAGAATGACTTTCCTATCCCACGGGACCTGTGCAGTGAAACAGAAATCAAGACAGGCTGGAAAAGTCTGCTTTCCACTTGGACCCTGAGAGCAGTTTTGGGGTTCCAGTGCCCAACCAGGAGCACCAGTCTCTCGGTTTGATGTGATATCAAGTAACATTATAAGTGAAGATCAGTGATGTGTAAAGCAACCAGAAGGCTGTAAATAAAATAGTTAGAAAATGCATGCCCTCATGGAGATATCAGAACGATTTAATGATTTAAAACTTCCTTTCCAGAGTCTTCTAATTCCCACAACTCTTATTTAGCTTAATAAGAGCTGTGAACGTGCAGATTTATTCACCAGTATTGGCAAACTCCTGGTACTTCCTTAATGCTCCTATTCCTTTAGCTATGTGATTAACAAAAAATGCTTCTTTTTAGGGAAAATTAAAAAAAGGTTTTTATGGTGCAGGGAGTTTTTCAACATCATTTGAATGATCCATTAGAGAGTCAGAATGTCAAACACTAATTTAAGACAACAAAACTGTCTAAATTTCCATATTTCTTGGGCAAACATTAATTTTTTGAGAACTCAGATTATGATTTATAAACACCCGAGGCCAACACCTCTGCAATGACTAAACCCCCCTTGATGCTTTAGCTGACCAGCACAGTAAATACCTATTGATAGCTCAAGTTAACTACCAGTGAACACTGTCCTGGAAGCATCTCTAACTGCGAGGCACTTCTCTGATCCCTGCTCTTGTCACTGACCCAGCTGGACTTCTCAGGAGCCCTCTGGGAATTGCAATGCACTGCCCACAGCACAAGTCAGACAAGTGAAAAACAAGTGTGCATTTGAATGACTTGCAGACCTTGGAGGCTTTGTCCTTAACATTGTGCTGCTGGCAAAGTCACACTGTCCTAAAGCAGGAGAACATCTGAAATGACAAAATCGGGACAGATCCCTGATTAATACAGTTTGCCTCACTGCCTTTCACTGTTTCTCCAGTAACAAAAGCTGAATATGGGGCTGCTGTTGGGGAGCAAGGCTGAACCCAGATTTTATTTTATTTATTAAATAAAATCTGGCTGAACCCAGATTTTATTTTTGCCTTCCTCTGAAATTCCTAAAATTCTTACTTGCATGGCTCAAACCTCTCTGTGGTCATTTTCATCCTCCCATAACAGATGCCCCTCTAACACATGTGCTACTGCAAGTTTACTGATTAACACAACTCAAAGAAGAGTCTGTGTGACTTAGCTTTCAATAATTTCATTTAACAAGAAAGAAAAAATTAGACAAACCAAAAAACTCCTCATACTTTATTTATTTGTCTTATTGGATAACAATTTTTGGCAAGTGCTGCTACCCAGCCGAATTTAACAGCATACTAAGTTGTTGCAATACTGACAAATACAGAGCACACTTGTTATAAGAGTGTTAAAAATGACAACAAGAACCCAAGATCTTCTCTGAGGATTACTGGGAATTTTGTGCCCTTTTCACAACAGATATCTCCAGAGAAATTTTCTTGTGCCTTACCCAGTTTAAAATATTAAGATGAGCTGAAGCAGGCAGCAAAAGCAGTAGTGAAATGATGTTTTTCCCATACCAGCCCTGCTAACTTCAAAGAAGATGCACAGGGAACAGAGAACAATTAAGACTGTTTTTTTGAACATGCTGGCTCAATACAGAGCATCACTGCTAAATTTTGTCCAGTAGCTAAAGTATAATTTCAGTTACAGGAATTTTGAGAGACTTATGAGAAGCAAACAGGGGATGGAAAGGCATCCTGAATCTCACATTTAATAATCAACCTTTCTGAGACCAAAAGGGATCAAATTCAAAGCTGAAAACTACTTAAAGATAGTTATGATAGTCAAGAGCACTTTATAAGCAATATTCTTAATGTAGTTTCCACTCCCTTGGGAATGTCAAGTACTGGTTAGCCTGAATATATGTCAGAAGTTATATCATAATAGTGTTTTGGTACATTAAAAATACTCAAAGTGCAAAAACCAGAACTTTGCTGCATCTTAATGTAAAACCATCCCTGGGATCTTTTATGGACATCTGGTCCTTCTTGTCTGCTTTTTGAATTAGGTATGTCATACCACAGTATGATATTTTCATCACACCAGATTCCTCGCTTTGGCCTTTTTGCACTACATGTGCTGATAAAATACAGGGGGTTGTGAGCTCTTTTGAGGAAACACACTCAGTTTATTTGAATATCCAGCTGCAACTATAATATATCTGGACAGAGAAATAGCACATGCTCTGTCTTGTGCTAAGAAAGCATCTTACAACTTGCAAAAGGTAAGATAATATTTCTCCTCCTAGCACAAGGGCAGAGTAAGTTAACAGACATATATTTTCATTCTTCATCTTCCAGCGTTCCTATGGGGGAAAAAACCTGTGGCAGGAGGTCCATTTGAATAAATATTTCTAACACTTTGGAGCTAGTCAAATTTTTTTAAACAAAAGTGTTGAACCTGCCCCAATCTAGTCACTGAAAGCAACACTTCTGCTGGGAATGTGCTAATTTTGATGAAGTCTTTAGAAAAGGTGTTTTATGTTTTGACTGGACTAAACACAGGAGAGACCATGGGCAGTAATAATAAAGAGAGATAAAATATAATCGGGTGACCAAGACCAACAACTCAGAAGTAGGTCAGAAAAATTTACTTTACCAGTTTCAGAGTTGAGAGCTGAACTTGGCCACTTGTGTCCCAGGTGAATGTCTTTATTCTGCACATGGCCAATCTGTTTTTCTAGTCCAATTAATATTTAATTGTTTATGCAGCTGCAACAAGAAAGGCTGAGAGAAATCCAGCCCAGAGCAGCAAACTGCTGAATGGTTTGCACATTCCTTGGGGAAGTGGGAGAATGGAAAATGCTCTCTTTCTCTTTGCAGTTTGCCTAGAAGCTCTATTTTTTTTTTTTTACGAAGAACTTACCCTGTTCTTGGGTTTGCACCCACACAAAATAGCAAAAAGAGGATATTTAAAAAAAAACAACACCAAAACCAAACCAAACAAACCCACGCACAAACAAAAAGACTCCAAACAAACCACAGACTTGGGCATCTTTGTTAGACAGAAATATTTCTCCCATATATAACTACAAATAAAAAGAGTAGTGTAACTTTGGTCCCTTATGGACTCTCAGAGTTAAGACTCTCCCCATTTCAGCTTTTCAGCAGAAGATCCAGTTGCTCCCTCCCTTTTGAAGACATCTCACAGCAGGTTCTACATCAGTAGCACTCACACTCAGAGCCCTGCTGGCTTTGGCACTGACACTTTTCTCTCCCAAGACTGCAACCCAAGGTTAGTAGAAGCGACCAGATTGCTCAAAGATTGGCTAATATTAACAAAACAAACAAAAATAAAAACTGAATTAAAAAAAAAAAAGAAAAAAAAAAGAAAAAAGAAAGCTTTAATACAGAGAAAAAGATCTGTGATGGGATCTAGTTTACCCAAGTCTTTTATGTGGGGCACTCCTACCCCATCCCTTTTTAGATGGGGCAGCTGTTTCCTTCTCTACTTTTCGTCTCCTCTCACCTGCCTTTTTGAAATCACCCAAGGTCACTGTTATTGTCTGTGTCTTCTCTAGCCTGGCTAAACCCCTTCTGCAGATGTCAGAGGTGTGTATCAGAGCAGATGGCTCTACATTGTCTGATATCCCTTGAAACCTCAACTGGGATGTGTGATATTACCAGCTAACACAGTCCTCCCTCCCTCCCGTTCCTGGTTAATTTTTATTAGCAAATTAAACACTCAATGTGTGCCCTGATGCAATAACTGCAGTAGCTAGTCAACACAATGCATCCATTACTTATCACAAATGTTTCTCCTGCCATTTCTATCCATCAGTGAACTGCAAATCGAAGCAGCACAACTGTGGATAATAAATGCTTTTCAGAAGGTGCTCAGTACACTGAAGTTACAAAGGGATCTGTGGGAGTTGAATGATTCCAACATCTACCACAGCGCTAAATACCAGCTGAACCATCCCTGTTCCAGGAATGGGGCACTTACAGGTGATATAGCCAGTGACATTTCTGCAAGAAACTATGAGCTATGGGGGCAGTTTCTACACTGCAGAAATTAGACACTGATCTGTGCAGAGTCTAAATCTGCACCACGTAATGAGAAAATGGCTCATCTTCTGGCACTGCAATAGTCAGTGTGCAATGGCAACATTTATTGACCTGTCCGTAGCTGTGACACAATTAATGGCAATTTGATTCAGGCAAAAATGCATGTGATTGACCCTACTTCATTAGTCTGGAGAGTATTTTACAAACTGAGAGCAAAGTGTTGTGATTCAGCAGATGAACTACAATAGCTGATTCATTTAACCTTATTTCAATTCCGACAAACCCAGTTACCTTTCAGAGATAATATATTAATGAAACAGCCTCTATACAAGTATTGGTCCAAGATTAAAGAAAGTAAGTGTCTTTTGTCTGGATTTGTATTTCAAATAGATCTCCATGTGCTAAACTTTATTGATTCAAGCAGTAGGTATATGATTGGACAGACAGATAGATGGAGTGTTTCAACCGATCTACATTTATGGTACCACACAAAAGCATTCAAACAGCATTTTAGCTTTAATCTCAGATATCTGACTTCACATAAATACTTTTTCTAACCAGAACATCAGTTTACAAAGCTGCAGCTGGAGTAATGGCACGGAGGACTGCAGGACACTTTCGCTAATGACAAACAGTCTAAATGCCTTTTAATTTTAGGCTGGGAAAATAAATAAGGCAGCTTCTCCTAGCCTTCTGCACTGCTGTAGGCACAGAAAAACCCTTGTGGGGCCTCAGTGAAGGACTGAGACTGCAAAACAGCCTTGACATTGACTTAAGTGGGCCAGAACTGCAGTCCCAAGGGGCAGGAGCAAAGTGGAGCTAGAGCAGCCAGAACTTGAGGGGCAAAACACTACATTAATAACAGCAACAACAAAAAAGATTTCTGACAAAGCATTTGATTAATAAAAAGTTGATTTTTTTCCTTTGATGTTTCCAAAATGAGTCTGCTCCTGCCTCTTTTCAAAGGTATACTTGCCACAAACCAAGAGAGACAATGACATTTTTAATTTGGTTCAAAGCTATTAACTTTTGCCCAGTCCTTGGGGAAGAACCAGTTCTCATTTTTGCTTTGGAACTGTTGTGGAAAGAAAAAGTGATCATTTGCACAGCAATATGGACGTGATAGCCTTTGGAATGGGAAGGCGCAGGATCAGATCCATGGTCCTACGGCCTTCCCATACCCTGGAGAAGCACCTGGAAAGCATGGGAAAAGGGAAGAGCATGCAGTCCACAGGGTGAGAAAACACACTAATTACATCTGGTATTTTCAAAACACCAGAAGGAAATTAGGGAACTAATGAAGTTGCTTAATTCCCCTAGGCAACAAGATAATTCCAGCTAGACCAGAAGTGTGAGACAGTACACCAAGAAAACTGCTGTCCCTTTTGGGTCTGGCTGTCAGCTGGGACAGTTCAGCATTTCCACAGAAAGTCAGAGCTGTTTTGCACCCATTGAGAATGGGGCCCCATTTTTAACATTATCTGTGTATGCTAAAGGAAAGGAAAACCTAGCTCAGATCAGACAGCTTATATGCAGTAGCCTGTTAACACAAGATCCACTACAGGACATGATCTGAATTAGGAAACCTCACTCACCCTGACTTGTCATTGATCACACCTTCTTTAGAGCTTTAGAACACCTGAGAGGAACAGTTTAGACTGAATAAACTTCCAGAAACCTCCAGCAGTGAACACCAGCATCAGTCCTTTCAGGGCTCAGTCTCCTGAGGGAGCGGGAGGAGGAAGAGCACCAGCTGGCACAGACTGAAGCATGCTGTTGCTGCAAGGGCTACTTGCTTTCACCTTCTTCTCCTTAGATTTTGTTAAGATACTTGTTATTTCTGCCTTCAGCATTCATTCAACACATCTTGCTGGGTTGCCTTGCTATGCCTTTTATTTTCTAAATGGATGGTTCGAGCACATGATTAGCCCTCAGGCTGAGTCAAAGTAACAGGCAAATTAGAAGCCTAGAGGAATTAGGAGCCAAAAAAGGCACTTGGAAATGAGCATTGAAAGATATTTAGCTTGTCTCAGACCTTCATGCATCCTTCTGCTGTTGCAATAGCCAGGAGCAGATTGTTCTACTTGTTTCTTATGAAGCTGGGGGATTTAATCTTATCTGGTTTCTTGCACCAGAAGTGCATAAAACTTGCTCGGGGTCTGCTGTTTTGTGCAGCTTCCATTTTACACTCCTGTCATACATCATCCTTACCTTCTTGCTCAGTTTTTTTTTTTTTTTTTTTTTTTTAAATTCCTTTATTCTTTTTTTTTCTTTTGAAGATAAGCTGTTTGCTGCAGTGAAGTTCAGCCTGTGTTGATTAATTCAGCAGCTGTCTCCCTTTGTTTTTCTCGTGAATTTTAAAGATGTAGACTGGATAGTCTTGAATCAATGATATGTTATCAGGACTTCTTTTTATTTTTATCCTAAAGCAAGTAGTAGCCCATTGCTGATTTCCAACACAGAATCACCAGTCATTTCAATACAGTTCAGCTTTAATGAACTGAATCATTGGCTGCTTTTGTCTCTTACATAAAAGAAGAATCAGCCTCAGTAATCAGAGCTAAATCTCAACACCAGGAGGAAAAAAAACACTCTACTTCCCGGTGCCAAACCTCCCCCCACGCCCATGGCATAAAGAGAGCACTGTTAAAAGTACTGTTAAAGCCCCTTAGGCAAGGCCTAATAACCAAAGATCTTTTAATTTGGTTAGAGATTTGACCAGTTCTTTGATTATGATCACCAGGAGAAAGACACACTTCACCTATTCAATTACCATGGGATTGTCCCTAAATTGTCCATAGGAAAATTGACCTGGCAGATTCTGTTATTTCTCATTTTGTACCTTTTACCATCTAAAAATGTTCAGGTACAGGTTCTCCCATGAGACAAAAGACATTTTTTCACCTCATTCTATAAACTCCCTTTTCTGATTATTGTAAGATGTTAAAAAAAAAAAAAATACATGTTTTCCCTTTTCTCAAATCTACTCTTTTCCATATTCAGATTAAAAGGTTTTTCCTACAAATGACAGTTTTGCTGTGTTTCAGTTACACTGGCATTACAAGACATACTTCCCCATGACAGATACGTGTTCACTTGCGTGTATCACCTTGGTGCAAAATATTCTGTAGGAGAGAGAGGTTCATGAACCTCACCTCTCAAATACATTTCTAAGTATCATCTTATAAGGTGACACCCCTAAGTTCAGCAACAGGGCATAGGAAAGGACACAGATCCCAGCCCAGCACTGGAGAGAGAGCACCATCTGCTCATTGGGGTGGCAGTTTTCTAGTGAAGGCTCCTATTCTCTAAACTTTGGGACAATAATTTCTGAAAACATTGCTATACAGAGCATCCAGGGGAAAAAAAGGATAAATTAAAGCAGAGTGCTTCGAAATTAGGGTTCTCAGTGTTAGTCAAAGGCACAATGTGACAGGACTTCCCAGCAAGGTGTACAGCTCAGTTGTTCCTGGCTAGGAAGTTATTGTTATTCATGTAGATGCTCTAAGTTCTGCTCTTGTCCTGGGGGTATTTTAAGTGTTTTTAACACATTTGATTGTCCCAACAGGAGAATCAGTTGGAATGCAAGCCACAAGGAAGCAAGGCCAGGCCAAAAGATTGCAGCAAGCCAGTGGCCCAGCTCAGGACTGTGGCACAAGAGAGGCATTTCCTCTGTCTCCCATTGACTCGGATATGCTGGATGTAGCTCTTCTAAGAAAATAAGTGTTTGTTACAGCAGGACGTAACAGTTTCCTACCAGACCAACTCACCTGGAAGACTGGAGGGTTTGAGTACAAAACTATTAAAAGCTCTGCAATGCAGAGCAAGAAAAAGGAGTTATGTAAGTAATGGATTTTTTGCCCTTTTTCTCAGTCTCTGGTTTCTAGACAATTTTGGCTGTAAGAAGTGTGGATCTGCTACACAGATTGCACTACAAGAGTAATCAGTGACAAACAATTCCTACTAGTTGAAACTTGCCAGAGTAGTAACCTACTATTGTATAACTCCAGTCTTATTTACAGAGAACCTAGACTGTACTAACAGTACTGGAACACAACCAAGCTGGTGTGAAAGCATCAATTCACACATTCTTCATGGATTTCTAGAGAGAAACTGAGTTGCACTGCAGGAATGAAACACAGACACACTCCCTGCCCTCTAAATAGGCAAAGTCCTCTGCAGGCTTTTCTGTTGGGCTGCACTGCCAAAGGAAGCAACAGTATTTCAGTCTCTCAGAATTACCAGCTGAGCTACTGGCCCAACATTTTCTGAAAAACACAACCAAATGAGTTAATTTTAAATATGATCATACACCAAAGGAAATAACTTCAGAGAGATCCAGCTGGAAAAAAACCCCCAAACAAACAGAACATTTCTTTAAAGGATGTTGAGCTCACCTCCTGCTCCCCACAATAAAATGAATGAGATGCCTTCTTATCCCTCAATGAGAACAAACACAGTAGCCTGAAAATCTGACACAAGGGATATATTACAATGCCCTTGCAATGTTTTGTACATGTAAGACCAGTTTCCACTGCACCATTATTTCTATTGCAAAAGGTTCTAGTCAAAATTGCTTTCACAGTTTAGGGCATTGTGATTGATGCATGACCCAGCTTAAAGACAAGTGGAGTTTTATTTGAACTACATAGAATGTCTGAATATGGAAAACAAAGGAAGAGAGAGCAAAGGTAACAGGAATAGAATAACACAGTCCCATAGATGTACAGTCTGACCATCCACAAACTCAGTGTCAATTAGAAAATTGATTAGTTGAGTCACTAGTTTGTTAGATTGAGTCCCTTCTTTTTGGCTAAATTAAAGTTAATGGAAAGAAAAACATAAGGACTTAGCTATATTTGTTCAACTCTGGACCCTTCACTTCCAGAAATCACTGAGGTGCTGGAGTGAGTCCATAGAAGAGAAAAGCAGCTGGGGATGGGTCTGGAGCACAAGCCTGATGAGAAGCAGCTAAGGGAGCTGGGGGTGTTCAGCCTGGAGAAGAGGAGGCTCAGAGGAGACCTTATCACTCTCTACATGAAAGGAGGTTGTAGCCAGGTGAGGGTTGGTCTCTTCTCCCAAGCAACGAGTGATAGGACAAGTAGAAATGACTACAAGTAGCATCAGGGAGGCTTAGACTGGATATTAGGAAAAAGTTCGTCACCGAAGGAATGGTCAGACATCGGAATAGGCTGCCCAGGGAAGCGATAGAGTCACCTACCCTGGAAGTGTTAAAAAAATATCTAGATGTGACACTTGGGAATACGGTTTAGTGGAGGACTTGGGGGTGCTGGCTTAACAGTTGGAATTGATTACCTTAAAGGTCTTTTCTGACCTTAAGAATTTGATGGTTCTATGATTCCATAGTTGTTTCAGAGACAGGTGAAGTTTTCTTAAGGACATTGCCCCAGTTAAGAATTATACAAACTACTGAGGAGTCATCAGGTGAGATACTGTTCTCTGTATGTGTATACTGTCTGTTTGTATTTCTGAGAAATTTTGCTCTCTGTAACAAATGGTTAGACCTTGAAAATTATGAGATTGCATATAAATAACAATATCATCAAGCTTAAATTACATGAATGCATTACCAATTTCTCTTTACAGGAACAAATTCTGTTCCACCTTCAATTATGTGTCAGTACAAATTTTCGAAGAGGCACACACAGATGGTGTAATAGCTTGTGTCATGAGATCATTTAGTAATTAACCATTAATACAATAATCTTTGGGCACATCAGGGCAGTGTTAAAGGCCTTATTCAGAACTGCATATCTTTGGAGAGCTTGCTGAAAACTTTTAGTTTTCTCACTTAATTTTACATAAGTAAAGCATGATGGTACATGTCTTCTAGGAGAACATCCATATGCCCTTAATCCAAGGAGAAAGAGAGAAAGAGGGTTATACCCAGGGAGTTGCTTTGATATTCTTCCAGTTTCTACTTGAATGACAAACCCTATCTCAGCTTTTTGCTCCCTTATTCTCATGGGAGAGCAATTTCAAGAGAGAGCTACCATAGCCTTGTTGTAAACACCTAAATAACATACTTTATCTGAATAAGACTGGCAAGAATTAAAGATCTGAATATCTTTCATAGAGAAATAGATAGAGCTTTGGCTGAAACAGAGGCAGGACACTTCAATCTCAGTACAAAGTGGGACACACTGTTCTGAATTTCATTTAGTTATGTTAATCAGCTGAACAACTTGAGAGAAGAACATCATGAAGGGTAACCAAGGGGAGAGGTGATAAGGCTCATTTCCTTATCAGCTGGACAGAAAGTGGAACAGAAAGGGTTTATCAAGAAGAAAGGCTTAGAAAAAAATTGCAATTCAAAATAAAAATGAATCTGTTGTGTCTGTATTGCTAATATCCAGCAAAGTTGCACACTTTATCCTAAATTTCCTTCCTCAAAGGTATTCTCTACATCTCCCTTGAGAACCAGGATCAGCAAGGCAGAGATAAAGTATTTTGCAAAAAATGTTCTTCTCTGAGTACTGGCTCTTCTGTCCTTTTCCAGTTATCAGCACAGAAGTATTTGGGTGCAAAGTCACTGTTTCACTCACATAATTCCAGGAAGGTGTTTGGAACATTAGAGGAAGTACATCACATTGTAAGGTTTCTATGTAAAGAGCCCATTGGTGATTTGGACGTCAAGAACACTTTTTTTGTGGTGGCTTTGGACATACTTTGGTAGCTTTTTTATTTGTTGCTCTCACACTATCTGATTCTAAAAAGCTTCTGATAATCAGTTTGGCGAGGTTTAGGAGAGCTGTTTAAAGGGTAGAAGGGAGAGGATCAGCATGTGTTACTTTTTCAGTGCGGGAGGTAATCACAGAGTGATTTTCTGCATCCCATATGGGGTAGCAACATAAAAACCCCAGACATTTCCTACTTGTGTGCTTAAGAGTGTTGTTCAGGTTGGTTATTCAAAAATGTCATTATTTCCATTAAAAAGCATCCTGGCTGCATGGAAGTTGTAATGAGATGGGCTGTGTGCATTTTCCCTTCAGTGTAGATGCAGATGCAGTGATAGCTAACTACATCATGAGCAAGGGCTGTGTTTTGAATAATAGCTTGTTGTGTAGCAGCAAGTGTGCAGGTTTGTGGGTTTTCTATGAAGAACACTTTATAGATTGCTCCTTTTGCTGTTGAACACGATACCTACAAAGTTTTCCTGATGGAGGACAAGGTAGTTAAAGTATTTGTGCTAAAAACAAAACAGAGAAAAGACTTGCTACCTGTCAGACTGAAGAATTACATGTCCTACTCCTTTCAATCACACTGTAAGTGTGTATAAACTTGCCTGCTATCCCTACTGAAAATTCACTCTGGATGTCCAGCTGTGATTTGATGATTCTTTACAAAACCCCATCAGCTGTTAAAGTCCATTTGCTCTGGAGATTTCATTATGTGAATATTTCAAAATCCATTTGTCAATGAATAGCAGAATGGCCAGTCCTTTCTTGGGGGTTAATTCTCACTGAATGTTTGTTGCCTTTCTACTGACAACTGAATGACAAACCAGTGCAAGCAAACTATTTGAAATAATAAGAAACAAACCTATTTCTATGCTAATATGTTTGAAACACTACATTTCTCTGACAATATTATAATGTTGGAGTCTATAAAATGTCTACAGAATATTTGTTCTGTTTCTGTGTTAATAAACAAGAATTCATTATTCTAATTTTGTCCTTCATTCTCTGTAACCTTTGCAGAAAGAAAAAAAAAGCTCGTAAATAACAGTGGTGATAAATTAGCACAGAGAACTAGACATATTTACATGGACATAGACTTCATATTGAGACACTAATTACCGCAGGCAAATTTAGTTTTCCCTTTAATCAGATTTTACAGGTAATTAGCAGTCAACTAAGATTAATTACAATTCATTTTGTGTTAATGTCATCTTTTGGTCACAGAAAGTTTACACAATATTTTATTTACCAGATGTAAAGCTAATTCTTACACAGACATACCAAGGTTGCGCAAACATGTTTTTAGTTCACCAAACACCTCTTACTTGTCTCAGAAACATGCTTTTGCATGAATACCTTTGGGTCTCCAGAGAGCCATGTAAGATCCCCAGGAACACCAAAACTCCTGTAAAGCTGCAAACGTCATCCCACCCAACCAGACCTCCACATTATTCAGCTGCAGTCAAAAGGGTTATCAGGACTGTTAAGCTCAGTATATTCAGTGTGAGACCACACTTTTGTATTCCACCCCATGTTGCAATCCATGTGCTGTAGCTACTCAGAAGTCTCATACAGGAAACTCACTGCCTCAGGGGCTAGTCCTACCTGGATGAATCAACCTGATTCACCAAATCTCACTCTTAAATTAATAGAGCCTCCATTTCCTGTCCCCTCCCAGGCCACTTTATAGAGATGTGTGAAGTCCCCTGTCAAATAATTGAGCTCACATTGCAGAAGTTATTCTCTACAGAACCAAAGCACCTCCTGACCTGTCACTGTTCAGGAATGTGAAAATGGAGAGCAAAGGAAATGAGTTTTTAGGCCTCATCATGAATAGTCAGCTATCAGAGCTGCTAATGAAACCAGAGAGCATAGAAAACTACATCTTCTGAAAACCTGATCAGAAAAAGAGCTGTAAGGATCAGACACAAAGCTCAAAGCTCAGGGGAGGCTCATGGGCTCCAGCATCTCAGGAGGCATCAGGATTTAACTCTAAACATCCCACTTCTTGGGATAGGACATGTGAAAATGGTATCCTGGATATAACTCATTGATTCAGAACAGAGAAAAGGTCTATCAAATAAAAAACAGAAGCTGAAAGACAGAAAACAGCAGTAATCAGTTTCCAGGAGAGCCACAG